GGGGGGGGGGGGGAGGAGATCTACAGCCACCCCCAGATCAGCCCAAGTGTCCTTTCTCAGCCCTTCCTGTTAACGAGGGAAACAATCCACCTTTGTCTTAAAAAAACATTTTAAAGTGATTAATAACAGCTTCTCACTGCAATTTGGGGGCCAACAAAAAAAATTGTGTCAACATAATCAAAGCAAACATCGGATGATGGATGGGAATTCAATAGCTTTAACTTTTGCTTTCATGATTACCTTTCAGGGGTCCCTGCACAAGAAAGCTGGAGGGCCCTGCGATTATCATGCTAAAAGTGGGGCTGCGCCGGCCAATAATTAGATTTCTATATGCATTGCCCTTTCCATATTTTCAATGAGCGACATGGGGAGCTGCTCTTTTGCAGGTTTGAGAGAGTGAGGCTCTTTTCTGCCGCTCCTAAGCGTGGAATTAGGATTTTGCACTGGGGCTGCGACAATGTGCGGGGACTCTGTTGGGTGGCACATGCTAAGATCTGCGCGGTATTGTTCCCCCTTCTCAATAAGACAGGGCCCATGGTCACCAGGACTCTTGCACCATCTGTTACCTTGCTGCTAACAGAGCATTCTCACATTGTCCACAGCTGCAAGGAGAAAACGGGGGCAGATATTTTGTGCCTTTACGTTTCTGCCGCTGGCCCATTTTAAATTGCAAAACAGACGCCTTTGCAGCCAAAAACACACAGAGAAGCTTAGAGCTTGGGTTAAGATTTTTAAAAGCGAGCATCTGAAAGTTCAGCTCCTATGATCATATTTAGACTCAGGAACAAGCAGCCTGATTCTCAAGAGCCCAGCATTCCCATTTTGACCTTTTTTCCAAAACCTAATTTTGCACATTCATTAGCTTCCACCGCACCGAGACTGCCCTAGCAATATTTTCCATCTACATAGAGCTGTCATCCTCAATGTATGCAACAGGCTGGATCTAAAATCTGGTGCATCTTTAGGCCGTTTACCAATGGCAGAACTGCAGTCCACTGCACTAGGCTGCATGGAAGTGGTCCTAAAAATATTAGGCTAAGAAAAGCCGGCATGTTAGTACAAGATCCCACGTTAACCATAGTTCCCACAGTTCTGTGAAACAACAGCTTCAAGCTCTCTAAGGAAAGGGCCTGCCAAATGTGAATTCCTGGATAAACACCAACACACAGTCTTTTAAGAGGTTTGTTCATGGCATAATATAGGAGTTAAGATGCTGCAGCTTCTCTCCCTCTTTTGCGAGGCTTGGGGAGGTAGAAAGGAAAAGACGTGGAGAGGAGTGACACCATGATGAAGTGGCCCCATGGGAGCATGCATTGAGTCCCAAAGGCCTCCATACCCAAAGCAACCCATCTGCTGCCATCAGGAGAAAGCATTGAGCCACTTGATCTCTGCACCTCTTCAGCACCATCCCACCGCTTTCACTTTCTGTGGGCAGCCTTCTATGTACTTCGCCGATTTGTCTGCTCATTACCTTCCTATTAACACTGGCTCACAAAGGGAGCATCAAGTTCTGGTGGGTGGATTTACAAATATGGGGCTCAGACAACAGGACGGTCACCACTTCAGGAACAGGTGAAGAACAACAATCCAAAAAATGTTTCCTCATTAGCACGTGTCCTTAAGAAATGACATTTTACACTACTGCTGCTTTAAAATTTCATTTGAAAAAGATCACTCTTTGGAAAGCAACCTCCACGCTCTAGAAACACTGCGTATTTAGCCGTTTCTGCTTATAGGTAAGAAATTAAGGATAAACTGGCTTTCATTAACTTAAAAAAAAGGTATAATTTAGCCCCCCTTATCATATTCTCTCAGTGTATTGGTATATTAAAAACAGTGATTACAAGTGTCACTTTAGCTTTACCACTGTTCAAAACCTGGAGTTTTTCTGAATAAAAGCAACCTATAAAAAGCCACACACCCAACATTACCCCTGTGTGAAATACCAAAAGAAATGACCTCTTAAAAGCAGTAAAAATATAGTTTTGTCCCTTTAGAAAATACTGTACAGCCAGTCTTTTCTGAACTGTTGCACAAAACAAGTATTTCTTTCTATTCTTGGTTACTGAATAAAACACATCAAACCATCAGCTCTTTACAAAATATTCTTTTATGAGAAATGCCAC